CCTCACGCTTCTCATCAGCCATCAATTGGTCCTCCTGGGCAAACACGTCTTCCCATAACTGCTCTTGGCTGTTGTTGCTCACGATTCCTCCACTGCTATTCTCGCCAAAGGTATCTTCCCAGAGCTGATCCTATTTGCTCTCTCTCCAAGCAACAGCAAACGGCGTTCCCTAGTTCTCTCCGTTGGTGGTCTCGGGAGCGGCCTCTTCAGCCGCGGGCACCGAGGTGGGCTCGAAATCCATCTCTTCGGGAGTGGGTGCGTCCTCAATATCGGCATACTCCTGCTCGGCGATTGCGGCCTCCTCAGCGGCCTTGGCCTTGGCAGCCTCGTCAATCTGCTTTTGCTTCTGGAGGCTGTTGTTGATCAACGGCGTGGTGTCGTTGAAAATACGCAAGAGCATCGCCGTGCGGTCGTCCTTGGGCAGCATGAGGTTGAGGGAGTGGATGCTCTTCCACAACGGGAGCGCAATACGCTCGCTGAAGGAGGCATCCGAGCCGTCGGGCTCAACCCGCAGCACGCAGCAGCCCATGCCAATGTCCCTGATGCGCTCTCCTATTTCGCCCATGGACTGCCACTCGCCGTCGGCGATACGGGGGAACATCTCGATGAGGAGCCTGCGGAGGGTCTCCTTATTTGTGAGGCGGACGACGCGAGACTCGCCGACATAGCCCTGGAGGATGGGCATGCCTTCGGACTGGATTCTCCAGCGGCAGACCTCGGCAGACGGGGCGTCCTGCTTCATAAACATCTTGACGCCGCCGTGGATGACCTTGATGCCGCGACCCTCGTTCTCTTTGAGGATGTCGCGCGCCAGGGCTGAGGTGTAGTAGATGGCCTTGGCAGGCTCGCCGGCGGCGTTGCGCACCATGAAGCGGTCTTCCGGGAAACGAGAAGAGATGTGATAGAATCCCTTGATGTGCTGAATGATCTCGTGCTTGGGGTCGAGGTACTTGTAGGGCTCCTCGACCTGGCCGTGGGCGTTGCGGTTGGATTTCTGGGGCTTGTTCTGCGACGCAAGCTTGGGCTTCTTCGCGTCTTGGGACTCGCCTTCAGCCGCCTCGTCCTCGCGCGGTCGCTTCGTGCCGTTGGTGGTATCCTGCGCGGGGTCCTCAGCCGCAGCCTCGGCCGTTTCCTGAGTCTTCTCTTCAACCTTCTCGTCAGTCTTCTCGGTCTTCTCTTCAGTGTTCTCCTCCGTCTTGGTTTCGGTGCCGTTCTCAGCCGCGGGTGTGACGGTCGCTCCGGTCCCGTTTGTATCGGACTTCTGGTCCTCGGGACGAATCTTGAGCTCCGACTTCTTCTGCAGGACCGTGATGAAGAAAGCGCCGGTGTCCTGCTGGTGACCGTAGACTCTCATGCAACGCTCAAGGGGAAGGTTAGCGCAGACGCTGTCCTCTAAGGGAGGAAACATGGTCTCGGCGAGTCTGCCGGGGGCGATGCCATCAGTGCTGTTCTTGGTGAACTCATCGACTTCCGCCTGAGAGCTCCACAGCCTGCCAGACTTGTCCATGATCTGCCATTTGCGCATACCAGGGGCTCTGATGAGACCCTTCAGCTCGTTGCTGCAGTCAACGATCTCGACCTTGTCGGGGCCACCGCAGCGATCGATGGCAGCAGCAATAACGGATTCGTTCTCGACGGGGTTCATGGAGCAGGTAGAGTAGACAACACGGCCTCCGACCTTGAGCATGGCGAGGGCACGCAGCAGGATTCTGACTTGAGTAACGTGGAGACCGAGGGCATTTCCAGGCTGCCAATCCTTCCAGAGGTTCGCGTTCTTTCTCAGGGTGCCGTCGCCAGAGCAAGGAACGTCAGCCAAGATTCTGTCAAACTTGAGGTAGACGGGCTTGTTCGGGGTCGCGGGGTCCGAAGGGAGCTTGATTGCCGGGTACTGCGTGGCGTCGTGGTTAGTGACGAGCAGGTTGGGTGATGAAATGCGCTTGAGCTGGTGAACAAGGAGGTGTCCGCGCTTGTAGTCGGCGTCGTTGGCGATCAGAATACCGGTGGCACGACCGTCATCCGAAGAGTCGGCTGCGAGATCAGCCTCACGCTCCTCCTCAGTCTCGTCGCCAAGGGCAAGTCCATCCTCCTTGGCGTAGGCGCGCAGGACCTTTCGGATTCTAGCCTCCTCGCCCTGGTGAATCATCTCAAGAAGCTGGCCGGCCTTGCTGCCGGGAGCGGCGCACATGTCCAGGACAGTCATGCCAGGACGAACGTCCATCAAAAGAGGAGGGATCATGCTGACGACCTCTTGTCTGCTCGTGTTGCCGACACTCGTCTCAGAGACCAAGAACTTCTGGAATGAGGAGAAGGGAGCATATTTGCGAATGACGTTCTTCGGGGTGGTCATCCACCAGGCGAGTTCATTGGGGTACCACTCGAGAGGCTTGGGGGGCTCGACAGCGCGACCGTCGGCGTGTTCGATCTTGACGATCTCGGGCATGTAACGTTCCTGGAAGAGCTTCTTCACGGTCAAGGCGTGGCTATATGGGAGTCAGTACGAAGTCCATGATCGGTCTCAATTGAGTCAGTGCGACGTACCCCTTGGAGCCGCAGAAACGGAAGCTGTTGGGGAGATCTCTGCGCAGCGCATCCCAGAAGGGACCCTGCTCCTCCTCGGACAGGCCGATGATGGTGTTGTAGTAGCGCTGAAGCCTCTCGTTCTTCTTGTCGACGGCCGGGTACGACTGCCACGACTCGCTGCGAGGCTGGCGGCCGCGGTCAGCACCGCCGCCGCGTCCCTTGCCCTTCTTGCCCTACCGCGCAAGTCAGCACAATCAAACCTTCATTTCGACATTTAAAAAATCTACCAACCTTGAACTTGCGACCCATGATGCAGGCTCTGTTGACGTACGTGTGTTGTGGGAGATGGAGTTCAGAGGTGAGATCGCAACAGCTGTCGCTCGGTAGGAAATTTTGCCGTCACTCAAACGAGACCACCAAAAAAAAAAAAAAAAAAAAGTTGGAGGTTCGGGCGGTATGCGCCAGCCCCTCGATTTGGTAAAGATTGGCCAATCACAAGAGGCTAGGTGGGCTATCTTATCACCCCGCATTAGACCCCTGTCCCTCAGGGTCTCCCCCCGGCTTGTATCCGCTGAAGCACCTGAAAGACAGACAGACACAATGCAGCTCCTCAAAGTCAACAGCTCCATCAGTCAGCGGGGAGTTGCTTAGAAAAAGTCCACTTCGCCTGGAGACTTCATCTCATGGTGGAAACTCTGAGGCATACAGTGTCAAGTCTCAAAGCGTGAGCCGCAGCTCGACTGATCCGGTGAACACCTTCGTGGTCACTGGAGTGTGCTCTGACGGCTTTACACGAAAGCTCCTGAAACCTCTGCAGCTCCGTGTTATCCGCGACGCAGCACCAGAGCTGTCGTTCGCCTCTTACCTCCGTGTACTTATACAGCTTGCAGATGATGTATATGTAATCATTAGCACGCGAGCAAGACTGTGTGTTGGCTGGCGTACACAGACGTCCGGTCTGCTAATGCCTGGAAACTGATTGGGTCCTGCTCGCAGCATGGAGTGGGCACCGAGGCAGTCGTTGGCAAGGATAGGCCTAACATCGATCGCCCAATGCGGGGTTGTTGCCTCGGGACCCCGGGAGCTTCTGTTACTACCTGCCGCCGTAGGTACCTTAGTTTTCGACTATGCTAATGTTTCCCCCAACAAGAGCTTGTTTTGCCATCAGAAGAACGTGGGAAACGGCAGCCGAATGCCAGCCGAGAGGTTGAGACATCCCCGCATGCGAGGATGCGTCCGCGCCTTTCGGCTCGACAAGGGCGCGAGCTGGAGGCGACTCGGGTTACTTAAATGCCATAGCTCTCTTGAATCCATTCTCTTCTAACCTGACAAGTAATGTTGCCCCTCAACTTCGTGACTTTGTGAACTTCACAACCCAGAATCATGGCCCCCGCATCAACTGTGAACCAGATCCCACAGGTGGACGCCACCGCCGCCTCCAATGGCAAGGCCAAAACGATCGTGGACAGAGGCTCAATGAAGCTCTCTCTGAACATGAAGCCAGTCAAGTACGACGACCCGTACCAGCAACGACAGCATCTCAAGGAGCGTCTCGCTTTGGGCTTCCGCATTTTCGCCAAGAACGGGTTTGACGCCGGCGTGGCTGGCCATATCACTGTTCGCGTGAGTTTGTCGGGTTCTCGCATCGCAACCTCTCTTCTGACAAGATGTATTAGGATCCAGTCGAGCCAGGGACCTTCTGGCTGAACCCATTCGGCGTTCCGTGGCCTCTACTCAAGGCATCTGACTTGATCCGGGTAGACGAGAACGGTGAAGTCGTCGAGGGCGGCCCTGTTAGACTGCTCAACACCGCCGGTTCGCCACTCTCTCAAACCACGCTACCATGAATAACGTACTAACACTTCCCAGCATACATGATCCACCACGCCGTCCACGAAGCCAGGCCCGAAATCAACTGCGTAGCCCATTCCCACTCTCTCTACGGCCAGGCCTTCTCCACCCTCGGCCGCAACCTCGACATCATCAGCCAAGACACGTGCGCCTTCTACAACGACGTCGTCTTGTACGACAACTTTGGCGGAATCGTCCTGGGCAAGGAGGAGGGCATCCGCATCGCAAAAGCGCTGGGCGACAAGAAGTCCGCCATCTTGCAGAACCACGGCCTCATCACCTGCGGCAAGTCGGTCGAGAGCTGCGTGTATTGGTTCCTCAGCCTGGAGCGCTGCTGCCACCAGCAGCTCCTCGCCGATGCCGCCGCGGGAGGTCGCGGTCACTTGACCACGAAGGTTGAGCAGGAGGATGCTGAGTTCACATACAAGTCTATCGGTACTGAGATGGCGGGATGGTTTTCTGCGAAGCCGGCCTTCGATATGATGGAGCACGAGTCTGGGGTTTCGTACAAAATGTAAAAAAGGGTTTACAACTAATGGGTGGCTTCTTTGTCTCATATTTCAAGAATGCAATCAGTCCAGGACTGGCGTTGAGTGGTTTTGTACAAATATGGTACAAGCGTGATACATTTACTCATCAAGTAATCCTACAGTCCAGTGAACAATCCTGTCAACTCCCTGGCCATGAATGGCGCTTACGGGAATGACGGCGCAATTTTCCGTCCAGGTCCCCTTCTCAACGCCACTTGGGTGAGGAGCGGTACCGTTGTTGATTTGCTCAAGGTACTCCTTCAGTCGCCTGAAATTCTCCTGCGTCTCGGGAAGGTCGGCCTTGGTGGCAACCACGAACCAGGGCTTGGCTGTGATGTGTAGTCCCGACTCCTCCTTGGGAGTTTCAGGGGCATCGGCAATCATCATGTTGCCTCCGTATGGACGTTGGGTGTCGCCATTGGAAGCGAGGTCCCAGTCGATACGAGAGTCGACCTCACGATCTCGCTCCTCCTCCTCGCGCATCTGGGCATAGAGGCCAACCTCCCTCCACAGAGCATCGAGCGCCTTCACGGCAGGCCCAGCGGAGAGGTCGATAACGAAAGCAAGCACCGCAGCTCGCTCGACATGACGCAAAAATTCCATGCCAAGTCCACGATCCAGATGGGCACCCTCAATGAGACCCGGAATATCAGCAACAGTGAAGCGAGTTCGCTGTTCGACCCGGACTTCTTCCTCGTGGCTGCCAGTTGAAGATGCAGCAGCGGGATAGCGCTTGTAACTCTTGATGACCGGTCGGCCCTTGTAGTTGTCCAACACGACGGTGCCAATGTTTGGCTGCAAAGTGGTGAAAGCCCAGTTTCCGACCCGAGTGCGCGAATTCGTAAGAGCCCGAAGCAGTGTGCTCTTGCCGGCGTTGGGCAAACCCACGAGACCAACGTCGGCGAGCAGCTTTAGCTCGAGTTCAATTTGCATCGTCACGGCTCGCTCGCCCTTTGTTGCGAAAATTGGCCTTGGAAATTCGCGAGATACAAAGTGCGGGTTGCCGAGACCGCCAACACCTCCGGTGGCAAGCAGAATCGGCTGCGGTGATGGGCGTGACAAGTCGATTTGGATAGGGCCAGGAGGCTGGTGGTAAAGTCGTTGACGGCGAGGGGCCTTTGGCAGAGCAATAGTCTTCAGGTCGGACTTGGACAGGCCTGGATATAGAAGCCACTTGTGACGCTCGGGATCCTCTGGCTCATCATCCTCCGGCTCGGGCTTCTTGGCCTTGCGTTCTTCTTCGATCAATCTATCCTCCTCAATCTCCTCGTCGGTCATCACCAGTCCTCTGCGCGCAAGCTCCTCTTCGCGCTCTCGCTTTGCACGCTTCTCGGCCTTTCTCTTCGCTCGCAATGCGCGCTGGAGGACCGCCTCCTCAGCAACGGGGTCTTCTCTCTCCAGCTCGCGCAAAACGGTACCGACGGGTACGGTGATGATGACATCCTCGCCCCGCTGGCCGCCCTTCGCGCTGCCTTGTCCAGTCTTCCCCCGACCTGCGCGAATAAAGCGTCTCCTCGCTAGCTTGTGTAAAGAGGTCTCGCCGTGGACGGCTTGGATGTAAATGTTGCCTCCATGGCCTCCATCGCCGCCGTTTGGGGGACCGTCGGGAAGATATGCGTCGCGCATGAATGATATACACCCATGGCCACCAGGGCCAGCATAAAGGGTCAAGCTGGCCTTGTCGGCAAAATTGGGCGAGGCATAGTCGTCGGGGGCGGGGTTGAGTCGGCTCGATGATGGTTCTTGGGCGACGTGGGTGGAGCTATGGCGGCGGGATGCGATAGTCCTCGTAGCGAGACGGGATGCGCTGGTTGCTCGGGAGACAAACAAGGAGGGATATAGGAACGGAAGAAACAAAGAATGACTGCCAGAGCATCTCGACGCCATTGTCCCGAGCGAGCCAGCTAGAAGCCGATCGTGAAAAATTGGTCACCTGCAGTTGGCTGTCATGAAGCTTAGGAAATTTTGGGTTGCCGCGATAGGGCGATAAGATAAGAGATCTGTTGCTTTACATAAGGTGGCAGGGGGACGACATCTACCAAAGCTACCAAATCAATTTATTCGGGTTCGGAAACATTGCTGCATCACAGCGTTACCTTAGAACCTATTTCGATGAGAGGGTCGAACACGTCAGAATAGCGAACGAATTCGCCGGCAGTATCTGCGTTTCTCAGTTGCAAATCAGCATAGGCTGTCTGTTGGACGAAGGAGCCGCGGGCCCCAACAACCTTTGAATACCGCCATCCCATGCTCATGAATCGCTGGTTTCTGGCCGCGCCCGAGTCGATCATGTGCTCGGAATTGGGCAAAGGACCATTGTTGTAGTGCAAAAGCAAGGGAACGCCGCAAATTCTGTCAGCAAGCGTTGCGAGACGGCGGTGGAAAGTTTCGAAGTCCGTCTCTGGAAGCTCGATGACAAGAGTGTTATAGATGACGGCCAGGCCGATGCAGTCGGGAACGAGTTCAAAGGCGAAGAAGTCAATGGCTTGCTGAGGAAGAGGTGCGCGGGACTTTATCATTGAAACAATGGTCTTGTCGATGTCGACTTCGTCTCCCCAGGCGAACTCTCCAAAGATTGGCGAAAACATACCGTCGTCCTCTGACCTTCAGACTGCGATCGCGTCAGCGATGGTAGGGGGGCGGTTATCCTCAGCGGGGGGTCCTCCACGGCACATGACCTCAATGAACGGAAGAGCCATCCCAATTTCAACAGCATGATACTTGGTGTGTAGATAGTATATGAGCACATTCGTCTGTTCTGTGGTCAAATTCGTTTGGGCTAACCGTCCGTCGGATCCTTTGTAAGATAGACTCTCGATGTCAATATTTGGCGTAGGAATGACCGCATCATTGGCGTCGTCGTTTGCCGACTTCGTTACGTGAGACTCCATGCCTGACATTTCCGACTTTCCTGTCTGGTTGCTAGTCTCTGTAGGGGTGAATAATATGAGGATAACGAAGACGATGAGAATTAAGGGACAACATATTGGTCGACCCTGGGCTGTGAAAAACAAGTACCCACAAGGTTGCTTAGGCTTTACCTACTTACCCTTTTACTCTAGACAATTTCCAACCCTTGTGAATACTGTCGATACAATACGATACGCAACCTTTACACCGGAAGGTAGGTTCTTACATAATGTGGCGGGGGCGGGAGCAACCGACCGCGACTGGGATCAACTGGCGAACGACGCCGTCAGGCAGCCCACGCTTGTCGAAAGCCGTCATTTCCAGGCCAGAGTACTGCCTGGTTGCCTTGAGTTGCCTGCGTTGGAATAAGACATAAGACGAAGGGATCGGACGTCTTTTCAGCCTCTTGGACGTCTCTTCCACACCTCATGAACCGCTGGTGGGCTTCGTACAGCCAACGCAACTTTAGCCGAATCGAAATGCACGGAAAAATGACGATGCAGCTTACCCATGGCCACTTGCCACAGGTTTATCGCCTCGATGCACCGTAATCCGACAACTCTATCTGTTTCGGTGGGCATGCTTCACCAGCGGGCGGCAGGCTCTGGCAGCAGTCCAGCTGAGGGAGGTAGGTACATGGTCTCAAGATGCGGTGAGCGGGGGTCTGAGGTTCTGACAAGAGGGGTTGCAGATGCATCGACCACCGGCCGTTCCGTCAAACACCGGCGGCAAAGCCAGGGGCGGCGGCCATGTTGATGGCGATGGCGATGTTGATGGCGAACCAAGTGGTTGGTCTTTTCTTGCTGCGCGAGCTGAAGGGGATGGCACCAGTTTTGAGGCTCAATGGCTACGGCAATCTCCTCTTCGATGGTGGGCGAACAAATGGATTGGGCCCTCTGGGTTGCATCCATCCATCGCAGCAGCAGCAGCAGCAGCGAGAATCGTGCAGCAGTGTCCCACTGTGCAGTGGTGGTGCGTGGTGTGTGTGTGTGTGTGTGTGTGTGAGGTGGAAATCCAGCCAGCCACCCCACCGCACCCCACCCCGTCGTGCCGGCCGTGTCGGCGTCTCGAAGGACCCAGGTCGGGCGGGTCTGACTGTCTGCCCCTCTCCGCTTTCTTTCCTCTTCGGTGGCTCCCGTTGGACAGAAGACGGCCAGCGGAAAGCAGGCTGGTGCTTGTCGCTCGCTTCTCGCCCAACCTCCCCTCCCCGCTTCACAGCAAACGCCCCGCGGCTTCTCTTCTTGAGGACGAGGTGTCTCCCAGTGGACAGTGGAGGTTGTCTTGCCTTGCTGCAGGACAGCAGGTCACAGGCGTCGGGTACATGCTACCTTACCTGACCTTACAGACACAGTCTGGTCTACTGCGGTAGCAATTGGCCGTTGACCGCCTTGAAGCCCAAACCCAAACCAAAGGCGGAAACGGAGACGGCACCGGAGCCAGACTGGAGAAAAGCTGAAGCTGGGAGCCGAAAACTGAACGAGGGGCGAACAACGCACACATAATCGTCCCCATCCACTTCTCTCATTGCTCAGATCCAAACAGCTTGCTGCACCGCAACTCGCAACTCTTCAGAGTCTGTCTGGCTGCGGGTTTTTACCATTTCCTCGCCATCCATCGTCTCCCACCTCATCTCCCACAGACCGTATCGTATCTGCCAGCCCATTCTTCCCCCCTCCCATCCCACGAACCACGCAAGACGCACGCAGAGCCCGCCGCTTCGTTAGTGTCCGCCCAAGCAGCATCAGCATCAGCACCAGCACCAGCACCAGCGCCGACACCAGCTCATCCCATTGGGACGCCGTTGGGCAAACGACTTCTGCTGCTTGCCACCCCTCCCATTGGGCCACTCTGCCCCCAGACTTGCATATTGCAACACGCTCGCATTCGAGCCACGACACTCTCTGCAGTCAAAAACCCCTTCCCATTCGATCTTCTCTTCATCTGCCTGCGCCCTCGTGGATCGAACTATCTTCTCCCCACGTCTCCTCCGCATCGTCTGTTTTTGTCTCGTCTCCCCTTCTCACTAGGAGCCGCCTGTGTTCGGCTTCCCGACTGCACTGCACCGCACCGCACCGCAACGCACCGCTCCGGCAACGAGTACGACCACTTCTTGTTTGTTCCCTGCCTCGGTCCTCTCCATCCTATCCCCGACCTTGGATCCCTTCTGCACTGCTCACTGCTACTGCTGCCACTATTGCTGCTTGCTGTCTGTCGTCTTGTTTCATGCTTCGAAGCTGCATGATACATCGCACCAACCGACAGTACCAACTCGCTTTATTCGTCCTAGTATTGTTTATTCCCAATTCCTTCCTTACCGCTGCCGACACGTCGGGTCCTTCATCTGTCACCATCCTCCCCTCTTCTTAATAAGTCAGGTCAGTTCATCACCGCCTTCCTCTCTTCCTCCCATACTCCCTCTCTACTCCAACGCCCCATCGCAACCCCAACCCAGCATTTCTTTTCTCAAGAGACCCATGGTACGGGTCTCGAGGAAGAATGTCCATTGTACTATTAGTGGATGAACCATCTTGATCTCCTTGTACACTATCCTTACTCGGAACCTTGCCCCATCCGTCGACTATAGACCGTCGGCGTCCCAAAAGGGAACCCTCAGCTAAGATGTATACCAGAGAGAGAGATCATCACAGGCCGCGGACACCACGCACGCCTCGTCAGCGCAAAACCACAGTCAGGATGGACCCCGACTGCGCCATTTGCCATGCTCCTGCCACTCTGGCGTGCGATTGTGAGGCCAAGGGTCTTGATGTTGCCATTAAGCAGGCCGAGCATCGCATGATGAACACGATATACAACGAGATTCGGTAAGTATAAGGGGGAGCAATGCCGCAATTCCTCCAATCGCTGACTTGATCGCCAGTACTTGGGTTCGTGCCCATGCCCAAGACTACATCTTGGAGTATTTCCGCCTGCTCACTGAGCGCCGAAAGGCTGCTCACACCGCCAACCTCGAACGCATCACCGCCCAAGCCTACCACTACTACCACGCCCAACCTCACCCCAACGAGATCGCCGAGGCACAAGCGAGCCTGAAGCGCGGTATCGACGAGGACTGGCAGTCCAGCGTTCAACGATATCCCGAGGTTTTGGAATACTTTTACAGTCTGGTAGACCTGACGCTCCCTCCCGATGACGATCCCACCGTCAAGGACCCTCCGTTGAGCGCCCTCAGCGGCTCTCGGAAGACCAGCCGGCGGATCCAGGTTGGTGGACGTGACATTCCGGCCATTGCAGGTGTCAGCTCGCACGAAAAGGACCCATTCGCACGAAGAACGCCGCCGCCATTCGAGCACCCACGAGGAATGGGCAGGAGAACACCGGCCCCAAGAGACCCTAGGGAAAACAGGAGATCCATGCCGCCCGCAGGCCCTCCTCCAGGAGGACCGCCCGGCCCCCCGGCACCTTTCGGCTCCAGAGGAATGCCGGGAATGGCAGGAATGGCGCCGCCGCCCGGTCCCGGCGCTTACTATGGCTACGGTGGCCAACCATACTAAAGGATTCACGCGCTGGATATTCCCCCGGAAGCAAAAAGGTCTTGCTTGTAATGATGTTTCATGAGATCCACGAACTGCATAAGCCTTCTTCCCCCTTTCCCGCGGCCTCGCCAGACTATTGCATTGCAGAAACGGTGCGGCACCACTCAGGGATGCCCCACCGCGGCGTTGTTGATACGTTTCTAGAGAGAGACAGAAATCGTGTTTCCGTTTCACCAGCTTTGTGTACTTGATTTTTCATGTTTCCTCTCTTATATGTCATTTTCGGTAGGTTGGCGTCGGTGTACGGGCAACGGAAAGAGGGGAAACTTCCATTCATGGCTGGCATTCACGACGGCGCAGGCCGGATACATCTTATTTTTCTTCCGCATTTACCATACTTTTGCGCTAGTATTCTATGACAGATGAAAACAGCCTCTCAGATATGCGGCGAGCTAGAGCAATCTACAAACATTTGAAAAGAAGTCTCATGGGGACGGTTGACCGTCTTCGTTCTCGACTTGTCTCTGAGCACTTACTTTCCTTCGGGTGAATCTGGGACACGACACACATCACTGTATTGCCGTCGTGAACATGCGACTTCGTCACGTCCGCGAATCAAACAGACGTCATATGATCACACAACATATACACACAACGCGAGCAACCGAGGTTACCTAGACAGGACGCGAGTCAAATGAAGCGCAGAGACCGAAAACTGTACCCGAAAAGAACGAAGGTCAGCTGTGAAGAACATTTCACTCCACATACAGGTCAGCAGCATGTCAACGATAGCGGGGATTCTTTGCTTTTCTTCCCTTCCTCAAGGGTCATGTTCGACATGACGCACAAGCACACCTGCCCGACGCGAGCCCAAGAGGACGGACCAATGCCGGCAATTCGGCGTCGTGATAGGGTCGGCACAGAGCGCGGACTGCAGCCGTTGGTTTCGTCATGCATGCCAGACATGACAGCCTGGGGGGGCAGGGGAGAGCTTCTTTTGTTTTACTTGCATTGCTGGCGTTGGTGGACGCGGGCTTTCAGACATGGTCGTGATTGGGTCAGTTCGTGGGCAGTACAAGGTTATCTCTGACCACTGAAATTTGCTCTGGTGGGTTAGTCTTGGGCAGCTAGGATACTCACGGCCCATCACATGACGGTATAAGAACGCCCCATCGTGTACAGGTTGAAAATAGCTTTTCTCTTTTCCTCTCATTTTGCGCTGGAACAGGGGGAGCTGCTAAGTACAAGAAAGCCCTCAAGGTCGGCGAGCAAGTGGGCTGGAAAGACGCAGAAAATCGCCACAGTTATAAAAAAAAATGTTTGCGTCCCCGAGATCCGACTTTTTATGCAAGGGTAGGAGTTTTGGGTGTGTGTGTGTGTGTGTTCGTTTATCTTTATAGGTTTGAGCTGTTCGGGACCCTTAGGCTGACCGAATAGTCATGGGTGAGAGGAGTTTCTCAGTTCAGGCTCAGGCGGCGGTTTGGAGGGCGGTGATGGAAATCATGCCTTCTCCTCGACGGAGGCCTCCTTGAGGTCCTTGGTAACCTCCTCGACGCCGTCGCCGTTGCTGATGCCGTTGGCCTCATCGGCCTCGAGCTTCTCAAGCTGCTTCTTGGCCTTCTCAATGTTCTGCAAAGCATGTTAGTGACATGAAGCCTGGTACGCATCATCCTTTGGGACTCACTCTTTGAGTCTGGGCCTCCTGGTCAGACTTCCAGTTGTCCAGCTTGGCCTTAACCTTTTCGACAACAGCAGGGACATCGGACTGGCTCATGGGAGGGTCGATGTTGAGGAAGGCGCAGTCCTCAACGACGGAGGGCGGGCAGTTGAACTTGCCGGCATCGGAGGCGGCGGCACCACCCTTCTTGCCCTTCTTACCCTTCTTCGCGGCGGGGAGGTAGTCCTCGTCACGGTCCTTCTTAGAGACGACCTTCATGCCCTTGATACCAGAGTCGTCGACGGTACGGCTAGCCTGAGCGCTGAGGCCGCTGTCGGCCAGCAGAGGAGCCTTCTCGGTCTTGTGGGAGGGATCGAGGAACTGGAGCAGGCTGTTGGCGCGGCGGATCTCCTCGAGGTATGCGGGGTCGCTGGCCTCGGCAAGGAACTTCTCGGCGTCGGCCTTCTTGCGGTCCTTGATGTACTTGTCGTGCTCGGCCTTTCTCCTCTCGCGAGCCTTCTCACGAGCCTCGCGCTCGTAGGCCTGGGCAGCCTTACGGCCCTGGTAGAACTCGTCCTTGAGGGTCTTGACGACCTGGTACTTCTCGTTCTGGACGGCGTGGAGCTTGGTGCGCTCGTCGCGGAGAGAAGAGAGGTTCTTGTAGGCCTCGTCGCCCTCGGCCTTGATGGCATCGAGCTCGGCCTGGATCTTGTTGTACTGCTCGCTCATGGCCTTGGCCTCCGGGTCGTCCATGGAGTCCTTGATCTCCTTGATCTTGGCCTTGAGGTCGTCAATCTGCTTCTGGGAGTCGTCAAACTGGGAGAAGTTCTTCCTGAGCTTGCGCAGGGAAGAGATCTCGGCAAGAGCCTTCTTCTCGTCGACGATCTTCATGGAACCAGAGTTGACCTGTGACTCGAGCTTCTCGATCTGGCGGTCGACCTCCTCAACGCTCTTAAAGTTGACCTTGGACTTGGCGTTCTTCTGCTCGTTAATGCGAGAGCGCATCTGCTCATCGAGGCGCTTGATCTGGTCAAGCTTGCCGGTGCGGGCATTCTTGCCGGCGCCCTGCTTCTGGCGGATCTCGTTGAGCTGGGAGATGAGATCCTGGCGACGCTTCTGGGTAGGAGAGGGCTGGTCCTTGTTCTTGTTCGGGGTAGCGAGGTCGATCTTGGCCTTGATGGCTTTCTGCGATTGAGAGGCTTGTGAGTAATCGCGACTTTAGACGGCATGTTTGCTTTTATGATATTGCCGTAAATTGGCTGCGCTACAATGCTGCGGCAAGGAAGAAGAGCTGCAGCAATTCGTCAACTGCAGGTTGTGTTTACATACCAGCTTGTCCTCAGCCTCCTTGAGCTCCTTCTCAGCAACGTTCAGCTTCTTCTTGAACTCGGCCTCATCAGGCATGGCCGGTCTGGTCTTCTGCTCGGCCTTCTCGGCCGCGGCAGCGGGTGCCTGCTTAGTGTCCGCCATTGTCGAAGATGTATAAGATGCCTGCCGTCCTGGGGAAATGGACGATCAATTGGCAAAGGCCGGTGAATGCGCTCAGCTCTGGTCGTAAGGTGAGAGGTGTGGAAGAGGAGGAGGGGAATCGGGATGGGCGAGGGAGAAATAATGGGCCGCGCAAAGGTGAACTTTTGCGTGGTACCTTTGCAACGGGACCCTCAAATTTTGTTGAAATTCACCCATTTGGGTTCCGTGGCAGGTACTTTCCCTGCTAAGGCCACCTGCTTTCCGTGGACTCGACTGTGGGGTTTCTAGGCCACGTTGGCACGTGCGCCTTTACACCCTTCAGTGTTCTCAGTGCTTTGCTGGTGTCCATTCACAATGGACCCTGGAATGATCGGTGCAGTAAGCAAGAGGGCCCGTGGCTGGTGGTGGCTCGTGCACCTGCCAGCAGCCACCGGTCGGTCTGGGGTGTCTGTCAATCACCCTTGGATGGATGCGAGCTGCCTGGGTACGTACTTACTAGTACAGATGTTCCGTCTAATGCTGTCTCGGATTATCTTCACCCTTCAACGACGGGATTTTTCCAGAAAAGCCCGGCATCAGACTGGGTAGTTTTTGGGCGCTCGGGCCCCACTTAGATTTTTCGCTGCAAGGCTGAACTCGAACGCCAGAACTTTTTGGCTTTGCGACCGACGCCAGTCTTTTTTTCCAACCTCGACGTCGACCCTTCGCGATACCCAATCCCGTACCCCGACCGCCATCCACCATCTCGAATCTCAACACCATTCTCGGCCGCAAATATTCGATTCTAGCGGAGTAGTCGAACGCTGCCACAATGTCGGAGCAGAAGGATGTGAACAAGGAGGTCACCAGGTTGTGGCGAGCCTGGAGGACGGCACACGAGATGGCCGCGGATCGCGTACGACTACCCCCCAATCGACTGCATCGGAGGTGGGAAAGCTGATGCTCTTTGAGCTTCAGGCATTCTCTCCGAAGCAGATGACATCTTCGCGTGCGTTGCGACGGTGAAGCTGACGAAAGAATGCAGGGTTACGAGCTGGCCGAGGAGGAACTCACAATCTCTCTTGACCGCTTCAAGATGGAGTACACCAGCGGTGACGGAAGCGTAAAGTGAGCGCGTCTCTTGTTTCCTTGCGCGCTTTCATCTTTGCTAACGCGTGACCGTGCAGCCGTGGCAAGCTCCAGTTCTCCGCCAACCCCTCTGCCGACATGATCCGCAAGTTCACCCCTCCGCCGACGTCCCAGAACCCCAACCCGACACCCGAGTGCGGCACCCTCTGGGTCGAGTTCCTTGCCGATACGACGTTTGGTATCAAGGAGATCAAGAAGTTCATCCACCACCTTATCAGCAACAAGTACTCGTCCGGCATCATGGTCACCCACGTGCCCCTGTCCCCCGCCGCGCGCAAGATGCTGGTCACCATAGAGTCGTTCGCCAAGGTCGAGTGCTTCCTGGAGGAGGACCTGCTGGTCAACATCACCAAGCACGAGCTCGTCCCCAGGCACATCCTGCTGAGCCGCGAGGAGAAGATTGCGCTGCTCAAGCGCTACCGCCTCAAGGAGACCCAGCTGCCCCGCATCTTGCAAAAGGACCCCGTCGCCAAGTACCTCGGTCTGAAGCGCGGCCAGGTCGTCAAGATCATCCGTAACTCCGAGACGGCCGGTCGCTATGCCAGTTACCGTTTGTGTGTATGAGCGGGCTGGTCAGTCAGCGTCGCGTCTACACACATAATCACGCCGCGTTACTGGGCGCGGCAGTTTGGAAAGCAGGGGAGGAGAGACAAGAAAGACCAAACGGAAAGGTTAGAGGCTTTCCGGAGGCGGGACGTGGCTCCTTACATGGGAGAATATCGCCCAGGGCCCGGGGAGGAAGAGCTTACTATATGCATCACTCGAGTTCGGCGTTGAGGGAACGGCTACGGTCTGCTGTTTTGTGTATGATCAAACCAAAAAAGAGGGCTTTCAACTAGAAGGACAATTATCAAACTTATTATTTATCACGTCTTTTGGCTGCCCTGAACTTGGTAAATGATCAGCACATGTCCACTAACCGAAGAGTACCGGCAAACGTGCTTGTTTTGTTTGCCCTGTATTTGATAGGCCAAGAAAACTCTTCAAACGTTTGCTTCGTCAGTTCGACCGTTTCCAGTCAACTCCCGTGGCGAACACGCAAGCCTCACCTGGGCCAACTTGATTTCATGAGTTGGTCGAACCTGGGCATCAGAGGAGATTATTCGCCGCGGAACTGCGCCTTGCAACAATTTGCATCCCTCAGATGCGTGCCCAATCCTTTTTAACCTGATTCCAGTCGCATATAGCAGGAGTTTATGCAAAGAATACCCACAAGTCTGTCAACGCAACGTGTAAAGCCACGCCTTCATTCGATCCGGGGGGAACACCGGACGAACGCTGATATAATACATCCCATGAAAGCCAAGACAAGACAAGACAAGACAAGACAAGACAAACCCCCTTTTTAACTAAACCAACTGCCTTAATCTCACACAGGGGAAAAAGGCCATCACCACAAATGCCTTTCTGCACCAAGTCCCACGTTTCCGACGCGCCCGTTGACCAACAGGATACATCCCAAAAGACATTTCACACACACACGCAGAAGGCCCCGCTGTGCGAGAGAAACCCAACCCATGCGTCAATGCCAGAGACCCCCTTTCCTCCCAAGCCTAACAGGGAGGAATGTTGCGACTTTGAGAGAAAGCAGCAGAAGATGAAGCATTCTGGCTCCACATACCTAACCTACAGGCTACCCGGCCCTCTCGATCGGATTTCGGCTGTCGGCTGAGGAAAGATGGAACGGGTGGGCGGGCGAGACAACAGGGGAGATCGGGAAGCGGAGGCGGAAGCGGATAGATGAATGAGTGAGAGTGAGTCAGGGACCGACCGAGAGATATCTATCCTCCGAGAAGAGCTAGCCTCGAAAAACCGAGACCACGCGAAAAAGGAACCGGCACCGCAGGGCGACGGGGAAATAATAGAAAAAGTTAGACAGGAAGCAAGGTAAACTTTCAGGGGGCGCAGAGTCAGTCGTTGAAATTGGGTAGGGGATAGGCCAGAAGAAAGCAACGGTTGGTAGGCATGGCAAACGCAGGGACCAGGCTGGTTGCAGGATTAGCACGAGTTAAAACGGCATACATGGTTGCGGCGCGCGAGAGCGGAGTGTGCGAGACGAAAAAGCAGCACGGTGTTTGTTCGTCAACTGCGTCGTGATTATTTTATACCTCTTGTTGATGTTGTAATGGTGAACAGGCTTTGCAGTACAAACATGATGGCGATTGCGCCGGGGTATATGTTAACGATAAATAACAGCAAGGAGAGCCAGCAGCTTTTGGCAATCGTCAAAAGAGGCAAAAACATGGCTCCTGTCTCGGTTGTCCTGGGTTTCCTCCTACTCCGAATATCCCGTCGTGATAATCATCTTTCCCAGAAAACAAAACGTGACGCGTCCAGCCCCTTCATGGTCCGAAATCAAACGCCACAGCAAGGTTCTAGAGACCTCTGTAACTCCAAGTGTGAAAATTCCAAAATTCCGTCAAGTCGTCATTGTACATGGGCATATGCTGCCTTGGCTGTAGTGATGCAGTGCAATTCGTCGCGATTAAGATGGTGTGGTGAAACATGAATCGTCCGTAGTCGTGTCAAAAGCTACTTCAGTAAGCCGCCGGGGTCAATCAGCGTTGGCTCGCCGGGGCGTGGGTTATACGATGGGTGATCATCATGAAGTGATTGCGGTATGGGTTGGAGTTCGGTGCCGCTTCTCGTCTTCTGCCTCGATTGCTTGGTATTGTTCGGCCCTAGGAGACCTCCGAGGTCTTGCAGAAGCGCTGTCGAGCCACGTCGCATACCAGTCGACGGGGCAGGGAGCGTGGGTGATGGTACTCCATGTCCCGGGGACGACTTTGGATCGATAGTTGAGACGAGACTGTCCCGACGATAGGTCGGCACGCCGAACTGGTCCTCAGACAGAAGCCCTCCCACATCAAAAAACGAAACTCTTCGCGGGGTGGTGGTTGAGTTACTTCGAGACGACGAGAGTTGGTCATGCGGCAATAGCGAAGCATTGCTGCGCTCGGCGTTACTGCGGCTGCGTTGAGGGAATTGCCAGTTCCGCAAGTCCTCGCCAAATGGCCTTGCAACGGGTGCAGGGGTGTATCGCGGGCTCTCCGGATCATACTCTTCGTCCGGCAGCTCTCTCAAATCAGGATCCACTCCAAGGCCAACGTCTCGCACCAAGTCTTCATCGCTGCCCCAATGCCGGTGAATGGTTGGCCGTCGCGAATCGGAGTTCCGATCCATCGAGTCAGCCGCAACTGAGCCGTACTTAAATTTCTGTTTCTTGATGCCTCGATCGCGTACGAACGAGCCTAGCACCAGGGCGTTCGCTGCTGTGGTCGCAAATAAGAGTTCCACGGATGCGAATACCGATCGTAGTTGTTGTTGTCCGTGCTCCCTGATGACGTGGGGGACCCGATAGATGGTGACGCCGATAACTGCCAAGCTGAGGGAGAAAAGCAGCGTAAGTTGGACCTTTCTCTTCAGACCCATCTGACTCCGCAAAATAATCGGGATAGGGAAAAAGACAAGCAGTGCATCGGTGAGGATGTTGCACGTCGCCATGGTGATGAGATGGGCGAATCCTTGGCGACACTGCCCGCCGGGGTCGGGAGTGACCTGCCAGTAGTGGTGGAAGGGCCTGCATTCTGCCAGGTCGCTGATGATGATGGCGATGAAGGTTGCGACCAGAGTACATCTGATGAAAACCAGAGTCTGTTCGTAAGAACGTGCCCAAGTGACGCCAGTGAGGCGCTTGAAGAACTCTAAAATAGTGTTCTTCAAAATCCACAATCTGCACAGACAAAGCGTTAGCAAGCCATCCTACCGTCTGAACGGTTCAAAAGTTGGTTCTCATCCAAGCGTTGCTGACTGGCAGAAAACGTGGCTGAAGACGTGCGGGCGGTTGGGAAATGACATACGTCGCTGCGTAAAAGATGCGGCTGGCGAGCACGAGACCACTCGCAATCTGCCTTCTGTGCTCATCCTCCGGGGACAAACCGTCAAACTGCGAGTTGTTGGTTCCGTAGAGTAGGACAAAATGCACGCAGACCATCCGGAGCCAAAGTGGGATGAGGGCGAGGGCAGCGACCTTGTCCTCTTGGAACAGCCTCTCGGTCCGAATGAAGCGGCCAGCAACCCGCAGCAAGATGATCATGGTGCAAAATGACGTTATCCACCAACAAACCAGTAGCGACGGCTTGTCCTCGGAAAACTTGCGAAAGGGTGGCGGATCGGTGTAAAGAGTCATTGTGGACTCGTGCAATCCACGCTCGTCGACCTCCGCAGAGGGCACGACGAGCGGGGAGGAAGCTATGAGGTTGGAATTCGAGAGGCGGCGGCTCAAAGGGCGCAATCAGCTTTGTCGACTACTGGGCGAGGTAGTTGTCACAAGGGTATAGGTGGGCGACGATATTGCGGTAATGCGATTCGACGGTTGGCGGAACAGCGACGAGGTGTCGTCAAGGTGGGATGTGTATGTGTGCGCCTCGCAGTGACAGGTACGTCTGATGCATGAACTTTGCGGTTGTGAAGGGACGAACAGTGCAACATCAGTCAAATCGGACCCGGGCGCAAGTGAGGGCGTCGAGGGAACCAGGCGGAGAGCCGTCGAGACGGCGAGGGGTGAGGACGCTACCGGATGCTTGGGATTCTGTCAGAAAGACGGCTGACAAGTTCGTGGGTAGAGGTCGAAGTTGGTAAGGGAACATGGAGCGCGGTCTAGATAATGCGGAGGAGTGGGTGGAAGTAATACTTCAGCTGCACGCAGCAGAAGACGCAGATAGAGGCAGTTCTCTGGTGAGGATACCGCCGCTATGCTAGCGGTCCAGGTGAGATGGGATAGGCTGGGCTGGGGTGGCCAAGTTGGGGGGCAGTCAAGGATACCCAGTGATGGTCCCTTTGCGCGCTAGGAATGATGGGGGGATTCGGGCCCTTGGGACTCGAGAGTGAGAGAGAGTCGAGGGGTGTAGGATAGAGTGACAGGGGACCAGGGAGGGTGTGCGGTGATGGATTGATGGTGTGCATCAGCAGCTTTTCTTGGCTGGCCAATCCTGATCCTGTCGGTACGGGACTGGACTGGAGGTGCAGAGCAGAGGTTGGATGATGGGGTGGGCAGGCCAGACTGGCCGCGGACTCGATTCGACCAGTCCTGAGGGACGCGTTGGACATTTCGCAGTCGGCAGGGCCAGGGCGAGCCAGTTATCAAATCAAAGAACAGTAACCAGCGAGAATGCACCCGATCAGCTTGCTGAGCCCTCAATTCCCTTGCCAGACACAGACAGCGGTCAATTCACAGCCATCGCTGAACTGCCAACGTTGGCTGGGGGCGACGCTACTGTCCCAAGTGCCGCTGATTCGTCTGTCTGGAGGGGGTTTTGAGCTGGCTGGGAAGCTAATACCGCTAGTATGCCGAATAGCTTGCTTTGAACTGTTCTTCCCGCGGCAACGTCTCAGTTCGTTCGGTAACCCGACACAATGGTAAGAGGAGAATTCCGTGGCTCGACCTCAGCTCGTTGTCGACCTGGACCCCCCATCCACACGTGTAAGTGATTCACGTCGCGAGCCATGCGTGTCTGTCGTCTTGTGCCTGGCTGCAGTCCGGAGCATTGCGGCCTGGACTAAAAGTCGAGACCGATGGAAAGGAAACGTCCATACTGTCTGTATGGACCTCTCTGTGCGGCGATGGATCCTCATGGTATCGGTCCGCCGGTCCTGGTGATGCTGCCACTGCTGCTGCGGCAGCTCTCCTGCATACGCTAATAAGCTCACAGCGCCTCCACAATGCTTCCCACCAGTCGCATTTGTGAGGATTCGAAACCTGCAAAGGGTTGCCTCTTCGCCAACGTGCTGATCAACTACCGACAAATAGGCAGTCGCGCCGAGCATGTATTCCTCTCTTCGAATCTCGGCCGTGCCAGCGTCTTGTCTGGCTTGCTCAATGCCAGAGGCAGAACACGCGAAGTAAGCCTCGTCACGCTGGTGTCTTCGTCTTTTGTGGCTTGGCCAATCCGTCACGTCCTCCTTCATGTTCCACCAGCGTCTTCAATCACAACAAGCGGCATGTATCAGTTGTTCCAAGACTGTTGATGACCCTGGAGGCGTTGTTGTACGCATTGGCATTCGCTGCGTTATCGTGCGTGCGCCGGCTCAAATGACCAACGAGAGGGCATCCCCACTTGTCTTGTCTTGCCTGCCTGCGCAGCCGCCTCAGTGTTCCTTTCTCAGTTGTCCTCGGGTGCGCTTCTCTCCACCTAGATAAGGCGACGGCCGACGAGAGGCCAGCCTTCGTGCTTTCTTCGCAGGATTGGTGGACCAAGTCGTTGAACGGCTGTTGGAGACACGCCCCCCTTGCTCCCTACCAAAGGACGGACGGAAAAGTTGTGGCTTTGGTGTTGGTTCATCGAATCAGCGACCAGCCTGCTTCTCTACCTCAATGAAATTTTTTGGTGTGCAAGTTGGGGTACCACAGCACAGCGCGCACGCGCGGAGACGATGCGGAGACGATTTGGCCCTTGCCCTTTTCTTTACCGGAGCAACATGGTGGCCAGGGATTGCCAATTGGAACCTGGCGAACTCGAAGAGGGTTGTTGGCGGTGGCAGTGGGTGCCCTGCCCTCGGTTTGCTGCGTACATAGTGTAGTAGCGTACCAAGTAGTGCGGCCCTGCCTTCTGATTGAAGATTGTCGGCATGGTCCAGCGCACTGGTAAGGTTTGTCAGGTGTGGGCAGACTTGTTGGTTTTCGGATCTCTTTCTGTGTGGCAGACTGGCGTATCCATGCTTCTCGTCACTGCCTTGATGCAGTCGCGGCCGCCATGGTCTGATGATGCTGCACGGCTGAGGGTAGAGACTCCTGGGGAATAGCGACAGAGATAACCGCGGTTGGCTCTATTGGACTCTACTCCAACGGCCGAGTCTGGGCTTATGGGCCGATATAGTGGTGGCGATGGTTGGGTGCTGCCTGGAGCGGTGCTATGCCGCAATGCGTATCTGGTTCTGGTATCCTGCCGGGGCGAAAAAGAAACATAGGTACCGTTGATTGCCGCTGCAATGATAGGCGCAAAGGCTGGATTTGGGCTGCATCAGTGAAGACGAGCAGTTGAGCAGGTCGTGGACGATGATAGATAGGTAGACCAGCAGGACCACTACTCTGTACAACTGCGAGGGCACAGCAGAGGGGAATGAGGCGGCCGTGGGCTGGGCCGGCCGACTCGAGCATGTGTAATTGTGTAGTGTCGACTCGCGCATGTCGGCAGGTGTCCCAAAATGGAGAGATGCATCAACTCGTGTGCCCCCGTATTTTCCAGTACCTGATGAAGGGTCGTATCTCTGGGCTAAGACAGCACTAGCGCTGGCAGGCTTAGCGTCAGGTAGGTTGCGACCGCATGGTAATATGGCCGCGCACCGAAAAGAACAGGGCAAGGCAAATGGCAGAGCGATAGCGGCGCCGAGAGTACGAGGAGGGCGGGACGAAGGGCAATCGAGACGGTGTCAATCAAACAACGCAGGCAAGATACGATGCGAGTCTCGACAGTGATTGTGGCCGAGAGGGATGGCGGACGAGTCGCCAAGTTGCCGAGCTGGCCAAGGGCCCCGGAAGGGAAAGCCACGGCCGCTGGCACAGTCAGGTGGTGAGCCGGTTCGGAAGGCCAAGAAGGTACTGCGTATGGGAGAACGTCAATTGTTGATGATGCGGGTTTTGGTGAAAGCTGCAGGAGAGAAATGAAGGCAACAGCGCTTCAGGTGACTGGAGGCACGGATGGGAGACGCCGCATGGAGAGACATAGACATGCTGCCATGTCTATCCCCATGGTCGCACAAGACATTGCTGGCTGGATCAGATTGTCCCCGAGATACCTGAATACAGGATGGGGTCCAACCAAGTGTTAGTGTCCAAGGAATTTAGCAAGACCATCGTTGGATTTGGGTTTCGATGGTAGGCCAGAAAGGGCAGGGTTCAAAGACAACGATGAAGGGAGGATAAGGTGGCGGTGGGGGGGGTTTGGAGATCGGAGAAGAGGAGTCGAGAAATCGGAACTGGAGAATGGAGAATGGAGTCGAGTCCACTGTGGGAGTCACGGTGGACTGGAATGTGGTGCAGTCACAGGTGCAGGAGAGGAGAGCTGAGTGCACCTCAGTGCGGTGCGGGCTGACTGACGCGTGGGGGAGCGGAGGAGGAGAAGCTGTTCGTTCGGTGCCCGCCATGGGTCCCGGTGTGTGTGTGAGTGGAGAGGGGACATTGACCATTGGAGACCTATCGAAAAAGAGATGATGATCAGTAAAAATACGTGCGATATTCCCCCAACAAAGGTCGGCCGGAGGGAGGAGACCTTGCATTTTTGCCGGTTCCAATCTCTGCCCGGTCAGCCTGATGCATGCCTGGGTACCTAGGTAGGGTTATCATTATCACGGGCGACAGCGAGGTCAGCTTCAGGTGGCAGGCAGGAACCGCGACCATGACACTGCCCCCACTCCGAGGCAGGTACGGCGAACAGGCGGATAAGAGGCACCTAGTGGAGGTAGGTAGGTAGATAGCAGCTTGCCTACCACCTTAGGCCGAGCCTCAGGTTATCACCAGGTTCCCAGTTTCAAAGGTGAGGAAGGTGCTCGCTCATCAATGATCACGCCCGAGAACCACCACCCGCGCCGTCGACAGTTGCACCCAGTGCAACAGCACCCCAGGGGCCAAAGTACCTCGCTGCTGTGGGTGTGACAGCACCAACCCACCACCGCATCTTTGTTCACCTCGTTGTCCTGCGAGGTTTGCTGAGACGATGATGGTGCTGTCGTCTGTCCGTCATCCGTCATCCGTCATGAGGTAGGCGCCGTCCGTGCTGCCCTGACGACCTGACCTGCCCTACCCTACCTACCCTGTTTCCTTGCATGTGTTACCCACTCGTCGATGGATAAATGCAGGAAACGGAGCTGGATGTCTCGTCATCTTGTTGGTCAGGGCAGAGCAAACGACGGGTGATGGAGACACCAATGGAGACGGGGTAAGGTAAGGTAAGGTAAGAGCACCACGACGACAAACGACCACAAGCTTGGGCGGATCGGGGAGCATGGACCACCGCTTAGGTCCCCGTCGACGGCTTCCCACTGGTCCGACTCACTCCGGTTTCCTGTCTTTGGGAAACACCCGTGGACACCTTCCCGCAT